GACACACGGACAAATCGACAGACAGACGGTTGAAGAGATGATAGCCAGATGGATAGATCGACAGTGAAGGACGGAGGAACGGAGAAATTCGACAGGCGAACATTCGCACCAAACGCGGCAAACGGGAGTACGTACTTAACCAGTCAACTTTATACAACGAATATATACGTTTTGATGTATCTATCCGTCCTTGTCGGCTTTCCTCATAAAATTTTATCATTGCGTGAATGTGTATTTGCCAGCATAATGTATTTTATAAAATATTTTTGTTTCGTCACAACTTAATCTCACATTATAAGTTTATATAGCTAAATAAGTCGACACTGGTTAACTGGTTAAGTCCCAGGAAATATAAAAAGTCTTCTCTACCATAAAAGTAGCACATTTCACGCATCAATTGCGAATAATAGGATTATACCATGAAATCGGTCATGCTATAGCCTCGCTAGGTTAGACAAATGGGTCTAAGACATAGCGAGCATTTCTCAATTTTTCCCGGAGTTTTTTTTCAAATGACATAAACACTCTTTAAAGTATATAAAAATAACATAAAATGTTGACTATGAGAATCGGAATATTAAAAATGGTCCTTGAAAATCGACTTCCCGAACAGGGTTTCAAACCAGCATGATCCGGATATGAATATGGATATTGATTGAATGCAAGTCAAACTTGAAAAGCAATTGAAGATGAAAAAAGAAAATTCCTGCCATACCCACGGAAATATTCAAAGCGGTTAAGCCAATTGTATGAGCCAGGAAGCCCAGATTAGAGACAAAACCCAAATCTCTTCAATATTAAAATTTGTAACTTCACACTGTCGACCCATTTTCCTTTCGCCCGTTCTTTTCTCTTGAGAACTCTTATCTATAATTTGGATTTCTTTCCTGTTTATAATGAAAACTCAATCACTTAAGTGATTGATAAATCCGAATGGGATCAATCAAGCAATAGCATTACGAAATTTTTTCACACAAAATAAAGGAAAATAAATATATTAACAATAAGGCAAACATAGCCGCTTTATAGTAAATATTGCAGTGACAAATATTTGAAGAATGTCTTTTTTCCCGTATACCTAATGAACGCTAATGAACGATTACAGGTGACAAATTGTTTTTCATATAGTAAGTATCTAATATCAAGTCAAGCTTTTCAAAAACAACCGTTCATTTAGAAAACAATCTTTTTCAATTTTAAAGGAAACAAAAACATTATAAGCCGATTCTGAAATACCTTACACTAACTCGCCCAAAATCAAATCAAAAATTATACCTTGTTTTCCCATAACGTCATAATTTTCAATGTGGAAGGAGGCTTAAAAAGTGGGGTAACGTGGTCCAAATTGTTATTCTTCATTAATTTTCGCCATATGAAAGCTTACTTCACATCGGAAATTTTATATAGAGGGTGTAACCAGTTTTTAAATTTAACTTATCTGTAATCTAAGGCTTTTATGTGCTAAAACTGTACAAGTCGCAAAAGTCAGAATTCGGAGATACTTACGGATAATCGCAAGGGCCTTGGTAAGCTATGTGGAGTTTGCAATTTCTATCCGGCAAACACACCAAAAACGGTTACACTCAAGAAGTACACGTCCTGGAGACAAAACACTTATGGAGACAGACAGATAGACAGTCGAAACTTACTTATCGTACGGGCTGATGTTATGCTCTGAGCCATTCTATAATTCAATTTTCGAAGATAATAAAGAATGGCATTTCTTTTCTCTACTCTTTTTTCGCAGATATCGAGAAATCTGCTTCACCAAATGTTTTTCGTCTATTGCTTCACCACTCCTCATACATCACGACCAATGAATTTTTCTCAGCCGCAAACTAAATATCATCGTTGCATTTAACGAACCACTACAGGGTTGCAATTGCAAAAAATATTACAAGTGCTGTCCAACAAATAAACTTACGTCGCCCAAATTTAAAGCAAAAAAATTATATTTGTGGAAATCTTACGGTTGTTAAAAGAAATGATTTTTCGTTGCAATGTATGTCGAAATACTATCACTCGGCAATTGCATATATTTTTTACATTCCCAAAACTATTACTTTGTATGGATAGTGGGCACAAAGTTGATCTGACCCAAATCATTATCCTTGGGTCAAAATACGTCATTTTACCCAATTTCTTCAAAATATATCAAAAATGATGATCTGTAGATTTAACATAAGTAAGTGGAAATAGACATTAACCACATAGATAGACGGAGAGACAGAAAGACGGAAACTCAGACGCACGCATAGCCAGAGAAGGCCAAATCGATTTAGAAAATGATTATTAATCGATCGGTGTTATCGATTACCTTACGTTCTTCTGGGTTTTTCATAAATATCCTCAAAAATGTTATATATCTTCTACCACAGGTGGTGTAGCGTGCAATAACGAAACTTGAGGCATCACCTCGTATGCTTTTATATATTCGCCTAAAGACGATTCTTGGCAAAGTTGGATTAGTTTTCCATCAGTGTCATTATCTGACATTAGTTTATAATCAATAACTGTGAGATCGGATATCGAGCGAGAGTGCTGTCATTGATTAATTTTCCATACTGTACTTTTTGTCAGCAGACGTGAGAAGTGACGCAGACCGAAAAGTGGTAGGTATAAAAAAGTCTGACCCTTAACATTTTTTATCTACATTATGATAATCTCTTATGCTTTACATTAAAGTCACTCTCTTAACATATCAAATAAGTACCTGGTTGTCATTTTTACTACGCTTTCAAGGGCTTGTTTGGCAGGCTTTAGACGTAACCTTACTTCTTCGCCTCGTGTATTATGTAAGAAATATTTTGAAAGGTAGAGAAGCTGTACTTCTCACTAAACATCTATCGTAGATAATTATTGCTATGGCTTTAAACTGAGCTATCGCATTATGGGTCATTGTATGCCGAAGAAAGAGAGCAAAGAGGCCAAACCATTATAACAAGTATTCGCAGTAAATATATTTATGTGTATATATATACATATATATATATATATGTATACGCATTATCTCCTGCCTGTGGTGCAAACTTCTGACCGTTACGCTGCGAAGTAACAACCTCCATATAGTAAAACTGAACAAACCCCAAGTAGGTAGAGCGATATGACACTAAATTCTCAGAAAATGCCCACTTTCGTAATTATTGAAGTGCATATGTACCAAATAAGAACGAAAAACAAAAAAACCGACGACATATGTGCTTTGAAAGATATATCTATTGCTGATTAAAGAAGCCTTCAACTAATGAGCCATTCATTCGCCTTACATTCATCTAAACAACAAAATAACATAAGACAAAAAAAAATTATTCGGTTACCTTTCTACTTTTCTTACACCTTCCACCAAAAGATGCGGGTATATTCATTTTGCCACAACGCTTGCAACATCCGAAGAGTATTTTTTTACGTACACAGTATCGAGTACATCTGCCTTTGTAATGTCTGTGGTAAACATACTCCTGGTCGGATAAATCAGGAACTCGGCTTCATATGTCAAATCGTTCAGAGGGCACGCCCACAGTCAAACATCGAAATGAAATGAAAACACCTCGATTTTCAAAAGCAAAGAACAGAAAGAATGAGTGCTTGCCTATTACTCATAGACTAAACTTTTTATATTCTATTTAGGAGATAAATATGGTGGGCATAGAAGATTCGGCTAGAGCCGAATACAATTTTCTCACTTGTTTTTAATCCCTGTACATATTACATTAATGTAAAGAGACTTTTTTTGCACCCACTTTACCAGACAAACTTCTAAGAATTTGCCTTAATTTAAATACAAAAGATTTATGGCATGATAATTACATATATATTACATATATATAGTGATTATGGTGATAATAATATAATTATCATATATATCTAATTATGATGAATTTATTAGAAGGTATAAAGTGTGATGTAAAGTACACATATTGCAGAGCAGTATCAAATTCTGGACAGATGTAAGCATGTCCATCTGTCCATCTGCATATGCAATATCCCGGTTCAAACGCAAAGATATAGACTTCGTATTTGGCGGAAACATTGGAATTTCTTGCACGCGAATTGGTATTGCAAATGGGCCAAGTCGCCTGAAAAACCGGTCTACAGCACGACGTTAACTCAGAATATCTCTCTATTCTAAAACGGAATAATTTTAAATTTTCTCCTAGTACGCACAAACCGCAGCAGATAAGCCCATAAAAACTTGCACGTATATTCTAAGGGCGATGGTGTAGTATCTGCACAAAAATGGGAAAAATTGACCACGTCTGCCCATTATTATAATGTAAGGACCTATGTCAATAATAAAAATTATGTATGATTTTTGGTTATCAACTCTGGGCAAAAACGAGATTTCCTCATTTTCTATCTCTCTACCTCCTGCCCGCACTCGCCTTGCTCTTCCTCTCTCTCTCTCGCTCTCTCTCTTTCTTTCTTTCTTTCTCTTTCTTTCTCTTTCTCTCTCTTTCTCTTTATCTTTCTCTATCGTCATATCTATCTATCTATAGCTCTCTCTCTCTTTCTTTTCCTCTCTCACTCTCTCTTTCACTCTCCCCGTCTCTCTATTTCGTTCCCTTGCTTACGACTCTTACATTCTCTGTTCTCCGTCCATCGTTCCGCACTTTGCATCCCCACACTTTCTCTCGCTCAGAAGCAGTGGCATGAATCAAATACAGCCAGCACAAGAGAAGGAAGCATAGGAGAGAATTCTTGTTGAAATGCCATTGCAGAATCAATCTGCAAATCGTAATAAGTCTATCAAGGTTGATTAATCCAAGTAAATTATCTTATAAATAAATATCAAACGACATAGAATGTCAAGGGAATAAAAGAAAGACAGATAAGATCTTATAAACGAACATGGCGTATAGATAGGTGTAGGCGTGAATTGTTATCAGTTAAAAGAAGATAATAAAGTAAAGCACTTTTCAACAAGTGACCGATTACAAGATAATAAAATTACATTTTACAATTTCGCTTGAATTTTTTCCCTATAAATATCTCATGCTTACCTAAGGGTGTAAGTATTCATACGCGAAAGTTTGCAAAATTTAAATATATTTCCAACAAAAAAAGGAATAAAGAAAAGAATCACTATGAAATTCCTATTTAACATAATTTGCGGTAATTTATCCAAATTTATTTTCAAATTTTTATAAAAATTTAATTTATAAAAACAAATTAAAAAATCACAATGACTTATATATAAAAAGTGAAAGATAAACAATCACTAACGTAATACCCGTCAGGAGTAGACTTTAAATTTGAGTTCTCATGCAGTACGCAAATCAACGATACTTTACCGAATTGCGATCATATATTTAATTTGTCATCCTGGCGGTAACATCAATCGGTGGACGATTTTTGGTTGATCTAGTCTAACTGATTGTCCGTCTGTCCTTTTGCTTTTTTTTTTTTTTTTCTCAAGCCTATCTATTTCTTAAAAGAAATCTCATGATGGATAGATCGGCAACGAAGTTTGAAAGTTTGTTATGATACGCACAATGGCTAAAATTATTAACGCGAACTGAAAAAATGAAAAACAATAACTCATAAACTCACATTAACCCAAGTAATAGCTTGATAAGAAAAAAAAAAAAAAAACCTTGAAAATGAGCACCTCAAAACTTCAATGGATTATTAATAACACATTAGACGAATTATATTCAGCTTGGACCGTGATTTCAATACTCCGCGTCAACTACTCAAATCTCTAATTTATTACGTTGTTTGGATTGTTCGATCATTTCGCGGATTTAATCGCATTCTTTCACAGCCCAGTTCTCGTTTAAAATGCACTGCCTTCATATATTGCTTAGCTGATATCGTAAGGCATGGTTGCGTGGGAAAAATTTTATTTAATTTTGCGTAAAGGTTTTCGTTTGAAGCTTTAACAGCATTTCGGCATGCTTTCCTACTCTACTACTAGCGAAAAGGTAGAAATGATGCTTAAGCGAGAAAAAAATTTTGAACCCATATGGAGGCGAAGCAATACCAGTACAGAACACCAGTGTCAAAACCGCATTGCAAAATTTCGTTTCGCCAGATAAAGACAAAATTAACGCACGCCGCTGAGTGCGAGTTTAAATCTATTGAATTCTTCTGTTCTTGATAAAATATTTACATACTATAAGGAAATCAGGAAATCATCATTTGACCAAAAAAAACAACGAAATTCCTTTCCGAATTACCCAACAAAAATGGATTTCATCCAAAGCTATATTCACGATTAGTGCGATTAGAAAAAATACGAAATCAATTTTATTTCTCTAAAGAAATGTTTATGGCGGCCATAGTCGTAATATTGATAGATGGACGGATATAGCGAAATTGTATTCGCTATACACCCTAATACATTATATGCCTTGAAATGATGTTTCTGAAAAAAACTGAAATTATCCATATATCCATAAATCGAGTAAGGAGTCAGTTTCTCTAACGATCCTTTCTCTACGTCACACTCTTCACTAATAGACGAACTAAAGCTGTTGGAATAAAGTCTAACGGACTTTCTATAACGCATTCAAATAACTATTCTTTGGAATATCCTTTATCGGTCCGTTTGTCCATATGTTTTATTGAACGATCTATCTATGTTTCGTCTTTAAGCTAATATTGAGATAGAAAACCCAATACTTGGTTACGGTCGAAAGATCAAGTCGGAAGATAAGTACATTCGTTCCAAAAACATACGTATTCCCATTACATCAGACGTCTCAGTGAGATCATCTTAGAGAGCGGAATGTAAAAGAGAATTAACATACATTTCTATTGCTTATCCTTTTGTTTTTTTTTTTTTTTTTGTTTTTCAAGTGTGAAATTAAGTATTTAAAGCGTATAAGAGAAATCATTTTTTCTTTAAATAGCTTTTCTATTAATTATCACTGTTGCCCACGCAAACCAAGACAATAATGAAAATTGCCCTAAAATCTGTCATTTGGATTATGTGCCCACTTGTGGTTTCAATGGCCAATGCTATACAATCTTTGGCAATGCTTGCGGCTTGAAGGCAGCTAATTGCAATGCTAAGACCAGTAAGTAACTTAAAGACGGAACTATAATGTAAGGAAACTATTTTAAAATATTTTTGCATTTTATTTTAGAATTTCAACAAGTTGAACTCGACGAATGTTCTAAGCCTGAGGTGCGCAGATGTTAAAATTATAATCTTTGAGTATTTGATTTTACATATATATAAAAAGTGTCACAATAACGTGTTAATTAAACTTTTTTTTTTTTTTTTTCTCTCTTTTTGTGATTATATAACTCTTAAGTAATATATTGTAATATATTTAACGTCTCATTATATTGTTCATGAAACTTAACATTCCCTTCAATAAACCGCCATCAAACGGTTGACTTTTGCTAAAATCCATTGCTGGTGTAGTTAACTCCTTCGCTTTAGTTGTCGTTTCGAAAATATCTAATAAATCTAGACGACGCTTATAATACTTAACTGGAACTTTAGACTTTGCTTCAGATGTTAACATGCTACGTCGTGTAGTTATTTCATTGACATTGTCATCGTATTGCGGATCCAATAATAAACGCAATAGTTTCTCACGTAATTCGTACGAGGGCGGTGTACAATCAATGCTAATAAAGTAAACTACAAGGTAAATAGAGAGCAAAAGGAAATCATCATTGCATCACTAGTACCATGTTTACTTTCCATCATCCGTCACGCGGTTTATGTGCATGCACACAAATACATGCGTCAAATTTAATGTATATATATATATATATTGTTTAATGGTCGTTCGTTTGTCTTTTTATTGCTGAGACTATCCAAGATAAATTTTGACTCATGCTCTCCGTTAAACGTAGTCCTCCTCGGCATTTAAACATTTACCAACGTCCCCTAAACACTTAGAATGAAAGTGATTTCCATTAGACGACACACAAACCGGATGCGATGATGGATATTAAAGATTTGCATCGAAGCAAATATAATTTTATTTCAGATATAAATTGAGAATGGATTCAATTCACTTACTTGCGATTATTAAGTACACGATAGATAAGTTACGTGCACAAATCATATTTAAGAGTTGATTTGAGAATAAATTGTTAACAAAATTGAACCGTAACGATAACTAATCTGTTAACGATTAATCCGCTTGCCAATATATATGCAAGAACTGTTTAATGCAACGCGATTCAGTTGATGAAAAAGTCACGTTTATACGTACGCATGCATGCTTGCAAACAATGGAAATTCTTACAAGGTCTCGTCATGAGGAAATTGCATTATTCTCTTCCAGTTCTTAGTACTTAAATCTATTTTTTTTTTTTTTTTTTTTTTTTGGTTATAATCATAACAAACAATGTAATAAATTTGGTTTATTTGCAAATGTCATAAATTATGTAACAGGGGTGGGAAAGCTTTTTTTGATTTTCGGGCCAAAATTGTAATTCTCATACGTCACGCCGGCGACCAGAACAGATTAAAATTGTGATCAATATTCCTTCATTCCTCCGCTTAAGCACATTTCACATACGTCAGCGGCGCAAATTAGTCGTTAACGAGCGCTGATACAATCCCCTTGCAGCATTGCTATGTGTGGGCATATTGAGTTGCTTGAAACTTTAATCGGGGCGGCGCGGGTTCAACGACGTCACGGGACGCCGGTTGTCAAAACCTGATATATATAAATCCTTGACTTGCTAAGCCGATTAACACAGGCTGACGGTTGCCCAAGTCGGGTGTGTATGATTGCTCGACTTGCTAAGTCGATTAACATGGGTCGGCGGTTGCCAAAGCCTGATATATATGCATCCTTGATTTGCTGAATCGATCAACACAGGTCGACGGTTGCCCAAGTCAGGTGTATATGATTGCTCGACTTGCTAAATCGATTAACACGGGCCGACGGTTGCCCAAGCCGGGTATATATGATTGCTCGACTTGCTAAATCGATTAACACGGATTATATCCCGTGAATCCTCGCCTTGCTAAATCGATTAACATTGTAAAACGAAACGCAAAAAAAAGTGATTTTCGTTTATTGTTTCTTTAAATTTTGTTTTTTTTTTCATTACCGCGCGTTTAATAGAAAACGATTTTCGTATATATTTTACTTTTATTTGTTTTGTTAAAAAGTGATCAAACGAAATTTCCTAATATAAGTCGTAATGACTTAAGGCTGCATTGATGCTTCCAGGTAAGACAATATGTAAAAACCCTTAGAGAACAAAATGGATAAAATCTTCTTTGATTGTTGGATTCACTTTCAGGCTTTTATTTCCAAGTATTTCATTGATTCACACTAGTATTAAAACGTAGATTTGTTCATCGGTTTGGAGGTTCTATTTGACTAAAGGTTACGTTTTAATTTGCACATTGAATTCTAGGTCCGCGCTAGGTTTCTTTAAGAGGTGATCCAAAGGGCTTAAGGATCCTTGCATTGCAAAAAGGTTATACATATGCTTAGCTAGACCAATACTTGAGTATACCCCTGTTGTGTGGCCTTCTTGCTATAGCAACCCTTGCTGTTTACCCTTAGGAATTTGGATTGGGACCCGCTTGTCTCTCTGCCTCCTTATGAAAAGAGGGTGCTTCTTTTATCCATACTTAATAGTACTGTCCTTTCGTCCACATTACTTGTTGAGATAAGCTTCAATGTCCCTAATCGCTTCTCTAGGTACTTTATATTCATTAAGCTTAGTCAATGTAAAAATTCCATTCCTTGGCGTGCGTCGTTTATCGCTTACCGTGTGCCAGCACGCAACGTCGGGTTAAGCCCACGGTAGCGTATCCACGCATTTTTTATACCCATCACCGACGAATAAAGGGTATATTCATTTCGTCAAAACGTTTTCGACGCCCAGATGGAGTCTTCAGAGACCCCATAAAGGTGTATATATTTCTGATTAGCATCAAATTGTAAATCGATTTAAGCATGTTCATCTGTCCGTCTGTCCGTCTGCCCAAATGCGTACAAAAGAATTCGTGAAATGACGGAAACTTTTCAAAGAACACACAGGGACAGACGTGTGAGGATGCCCATAAACTGTAAACACCTTGGCTTGTTACTCAGTCAACAGTGCATACAACATACAACATATAAATTTCTATTTTTATTCCAAGAAATAGACAGAAAAAACATCAACCGCGCCCACCCAACATTATAGAGTATAGCAATGTAGGTCTTTTCAGTGATGGGTACAAAAGGTTCGTTGAATATAATATCCTCACTTGTTTTTTTTTTTTTTTTTTTTTTTTTTTTAAATATTTACACATTTTTTTTATTTTTTTTTTGTCAATAAATATTGATTTCCGTAAATATTTGATGATAAAAGTATAAATTTTGCGGTAGTAAGGCATTTGTGCGTACTTTTCCAGATTATTAGGTTATTAAAAAATTGAGTGAACGGCTGATAGGAAAATTATTAAAAAAAAAAAAA